TGAAGCTGCTGCTCCGGTCCCAGCAAGCTCAGTGATCTGCCCTCTGAGACAAGATGACAGAAGTCATGCTAACTGGAGGCCCAGACACTTGGCCTTAAAGATGAGGGTGTAACAGGCAGCAGAATCCAAAGATGTAGGCTCTGGGCCCATTTCAGCTGTCAGTGAACTCAGTGAGCTTGGCCACTTACCCCCCTGGGAGCCTCAGTTGCTGTGTGCAACCCATCATGGTGACATGGTGGCTGCATGTGCTGGTGTGGTGCACCCTGGGCCTGGGAGGCTGAGCCTGTGGTCTGACAGCCTCATGTTACCTGCTGGCCTTGGGGTCTCAGCACATCTGCACAGTAGCCCCACTCACTAGGGACCTCCCCCCTGGTAGGTAGCTGTGGCCGCAGGAATCTGCATTCTCAGACCTCTGACACCTGTCAAAATGTGTATAATCAGTTAGCACTTAGCTATTTCTCCAGGAAAATTGTTTCCCACTGCTGTGTTCCAACTGTGTCTCTGAATGTGTATTTTTACTTGCCTCTGTCAGGGAGTATGAGTATCAGAGGCTGATGGCTGTTTTAGCTGTGAAAAAGCTGTCTTTCTGAGTTGACACCTCAGGGTCCCAGATTGAAACAGGAGCTGGTGCCTGTAACAGCTGCAGTGTCTGGGCCCAGGGTGTGGAGGGAGGCCTTTGAGGCCTGCTTCCCGCAGCTTCCTGCTCACGCCCTTCCCTTCCAGGTCCAGCCCTCTCCTGGTGGCTGCCTTTGGTGCCTGCGCACTCACAAGGCGGTGCAACCACCAAGCCTTCCAGAAGCATGGCCGCTCCACAACTACCACTGACATGGTGGCCGAGCTGGGGGTCGCGTTCAGCAGCCTCTTTGAAGCCTGAGCAAACACTAACAGGACGGCAACAGGCACCAGCTCGGGGATGGTGCCGTCTGTGGCGAATCTTCTGTGTCCATGGTGCAGAGTCCTTGGGCCAGAGCAGCACAGGGGGCTTTTGGGGTTTCCTAAATTGTAACACAAGTGAACTGATTTCAAGAATTTAAGAATTCAGAAAATTGGGAGTTTGGGCTACCTGATTCATAGTTAGAGATATTATGATGACACTAATCAGAGTTCCTGAAGTTTCTTCTCAGCAGTGACTGAGATGAGTCACAAGGGAACAGACCCTGGGCTCGCTCCGAGGTCAGCAGCCCGCTGTGGTCTCTACTAGTGCATCCTATTCCTGCTTCGGCTCGCTCCGAGGTCAGCAGCCCACTGTGGCTCCACGAGAGCATGTCCTGTTCCTGCTTCCCTTTGCCATCCCTCTCAGGTTCCCACCTGTCATCCTCAGGGGTCTGGCTAGGTCCAGAGGAGGAGTTGGCATTCAGTCTCCAGCTCATATGTGTTTATTAAGTGGTCATCAGGTTGGATACATGTTTTTTAAATGGTAGTTTGGTTAATTTGTTGAAATGTTTCAGAATAATCAGTGGTAAATCTACCTAGGAGATCCTTCTGTAGGCACCAAAGGACTGGAGAAGGAAACATGACCCTGGAGGGGCTGGGCAAGGAGCAGAGACCATCGTGTCTCATACCCTCCTTTGTCTGTGTTACATGCACCAAGGTCCCATGACATTGGCGGGCCCCAGCAAGACAGACCTGATACATGGGCTGTGCTTCTGATGGCTGTCACTGTGCTGTCTGGGAGTGTGCTGGGTCTGATGGGGCAAAGACACCATTGAAGCCTGGTGACAGTGTCTGCAGCTAGCTGTGTCCTTGTGGATGTTTGCAATGCATTAGAGAAAATACTCAAATTTCTGTAAATGTGTTACTGGATTGTCAGCCTCAGGTGAGCTGCTGGTGTTTGCATGAGTGGTTTCCTTAGAGGTCCAGGCTGCTGCGCCCTGGCCCCAGCACAGGGCATGCACGGAGTACCAGTTCCCCTCAGTTCTTTTGCCCTGATGGTTACTCTGGGGTGATGCTCTGTGACTTCGTTCAGTGCTGCTACAGATGGATTCTACTTCCTTTAAAACTAGCCACCAACTTCCAGGATTTTAGAAAAATGATTGCTGCTACTCATTTCACATCTAACTCTAGAAGCTTCACTATCTATGTGTGAACTCCTGCAGATTTTTCCTTTGGGGAATTACATCTAAATTCTGCTAACTATTAAAAGACAGATTCGGTTTATTTAAGTGTGGTGTTTGTATTTTTTTCTTAAACAGCTAAAAATAACCAGTTTTCTAGTCACATGCTAGGCAGATAAAAACACATAGGCTGCCCGCCCCACGTTGTGCTTGCTTATCACCAGTGCCTCCCAGTATCACTGCAATAACTTCAAGAGTACGCTTGAAACGTAGGCACTTCTTTCCGTAGGAGATAAGATTAGCAATCCCACAGGAACTATCCTTATGGTTTTTGTCACTTTAATGTTTGCTCTGAGTAAGTACAGAATCCCTCTGCTTAAAGAGAGCATGGGGAGCACATCTGAGTGGCTGGGATGAATTCTGCTGGTGTTGGTGTTTTTCAGATCAAGTTAACTGCTTCTCTGGACCAGGAGAGTAATGGGGAAGTTTGTTTATGGGGTTGGCGAGGTGGCAGCCACTGCAGGAGTCCAACCCCTGGTTCTGAGTGGCTTTGTCTGGATGTCTCACTCCAAGGTACCCTCTGGGGACCTTTCTGGTGAGTAACTTGAAACCGCTGTCCTTATCTATAGAGTGAGATGATCTGTACCTTGGGGTCATGATTAAATGTCCTACATGACTGTATGCCCAGCCCATGCTTGCCTGCATGGTGCCTGGGATGAAGGGACACCAGCCTCACAGTGTAGGGACAGCAGGCGGGCCTGCTCAGCATCTGTGAGCCTTAGAGGGCGCCATTCAGCAGCTATGGCAGAAGGGTTGCCACATCACACTCGGGCCCCTGCCTGGCCCTCAGTCCGGTCTCTGTTACACCTCCCCATCTTGCTCTCACCTGGCTGTCCCAACCTGGCTGCCACTAACCTTTCTCAGGCCCATTCCTGGACCCCCCCTCCCCCCAGCTGCTCATACCACAAGAGCCAAAGCAGGTAGGTTCTGTTCACTTCTGGCCAGAGACAAACGCAGGTGCTGGGAGGGGTAGCCACCTGGTCGGCACTGTGCCTGGTCAGCACTGCCTACCAGTCAGCCGTAGTCCATCCTCTAGGCTTCAGACGGGCCACGGTACCTCCCGGCTTCCTGCTCTTCCTTCCTCCCGCGTTGTCCGAGCTGACTGGGCCAGCTGCTCTCACTGCGCACGGCGTGTAGCGGACGTGCTCTGACTAAGCTGAGGGCTGAGCCGGTGGCCCTTGTACCATAGGTTAGATTTTTAGGCACAGTCATTCATGACACCAGTGGGACAGTGTTGGTTTGTTCTATTTCTCTTTTTCTTTTCTTTTTTTTTTTT